TTTTTTTTTTTTTTAACAATGGCGGCCAAATGTCATATGATCCAGGCACTGCGGCCTGATTCATATGACAGCTGCTTTAGAACTATAAAAGCCGAAAAACGGGTCCGGCATCCCTCACATCATAGAAAAGGTTCAACACACCCCGGCACATATCCTGTTCCAGTAACCCTAATCTAATTTGTGAGTTATACCTAATCTATCAGTATTCAATCCTACATCCCTCACAAAGGCCGACCGTTAACCCTGGTCACAGTCAACAATGAAAACTCAAAACTAAAAAAATCAGCAAACTCAACACAAAGGTGCCCCGCCCGCGCAGTCGGGCCGAGCGGCACCAAGCGGTGACAAGCGGCAGAACGATGTGAAGTTGGACCGAGCAGCGTCGGACGACATCAAACGACGGAGCGGCGCGATGTTGGGGGGAGTGGATTCGGGGTGGTGTGAGGTGGCGGGTGAATGGATGATGATGGGAAGGATGGTGACGAGGGTGGTGCATCGTGCGTAGAGGATGAGGTTGCTACGAAGAGGCTGCTTGTGAACGACTGCGACGGGTTTGGTCTGCCACCATCATCAATTGAGCTACGAATCGCGGGGTGTCACGTGTCCAACGAGTGAATCAGGTGATGAAGGGCAACGAAGGGCATGGTAGGTATGTTTCCCCCCGGACTACTAGTGAGGGGTCACCGACAGGTTCGGTGGTTTTGTCTTGCTACGTGGCAAGTGAGGGATAAAGTGAAGTCACGGTCCGTTAGTCCTTATTGTTCAACCTTATGTTTTGATGGCCGAGAGAGCGGCCACGTGATGGTTGAGTTGCCTTCGGGCCGATAAGGAAGGGGGTGAAGGTTTGGAGGGAGACAGACACAACATGATGAGAGATCGGTTTGCATGCTTCGATCCATAGTTTTGAGGAATGCATGTTGCTCTTCGTGGTTGGAGGATTGAGTGATCTTTGTTTCCTTACGATCTAATTTGTTCAATTTGATGATTGTAAATCAGAGTTTTTATTCTGATTTCTGTTTTTTTAATCTAATTTTTTGAATCATTTGGATTTTTCTATTTTGGATTTCTCATGATAGGTAGCTTAGGTTTTCAATTCGAATTTGATTCAAGATAGCGGGCTCATGAATGATTTCAAAACTTTTCGAATATTTTTCGATTTGATCTTTTCATGTTGATGATTGTAAATCGGAGTTTCGCCTCTGATCTCGAATAATGTCTTCTAACTTTTTAAATTCACAATGGTCTCGTGAAGAATGATCCACGAATTTGATTCAAGACAGTGGACTCATGAATGATTTCAAAATTTTTCGAATAATTCTCGATTTGATCTTTTCATATTGAAGATCGTAAGTCAGAGTTTCGTCTCTGATCTCGAATAATGATTTCTAGCTTTTTAGAGTCTCAATGGTCTCGTGAAGAATAATTCAAGTTGGTTTTCATATATAAGAGTTTTTTGTTTTTTTCTTGATGATTCAACTCGATGATTTAGTTTGTCTGAGAGTGGTATTCTTGTATCTTATTGCTGCAGTGGTCGTTGGGATACCTGCCTGGAGTGCCTTTTGGCTAAAGTGGGGTTAGCAGTGGGAGGGAGGTGACGGGTCGTGCTGGCGAGGGGGCGAGTTGGTAGGGTTGGAATAGGGCATAGCAACAACGGAGATGGTGACTCCGCTGTGATAAGTCTTGTCGGAGGGGCGTCAAGGGGAGTGTTTAAGTGGTCTGGGGGTGTTGAGCACGACCGGTGGATGGAGGAAGCCGGGCAGTCCGAAACCTTGTT